CAGCACCCCAGGTCCTCAGGCCATGAAAATAAAGATCAGATGTGAAAGCAAAAACATTATTTGACCTTTAGTGACCTTCCAGATGTCAATGACCTTTGTATACATATTTATTGTTATTATGATTTACTCTTTAAACCCCCACTTTTTAACACTAAGTCTAAATTCAGGTGTTCATGCTATGATTTTTTTTCATAATGAAGGGCATTTCATAAGTGACCTCTGGTGACCTTCAAAAGGTCAATAAACTTTGCATGCCCTATTCATAGATATTTAGGCTATAAGATTTATTATTCAAAACCCAACTATTTCATGACTCAAGTCTAAAAGTCAGCTCTTTGTAACATGAAAATAATTTTCAGACATGGGGACATCATATCTGACCTTTGGTACCCTTTGATAGGTCAATGAACTTTATATACCTTATTTGTCGCTATTTTTATATCTATTTGTCAAAACGCCTTTTTATATTGCAAAAGAAAGGTATTGCACCTATTATTATACAGTCATGTAATGAATTCAAATCCCACAAAAAAAAATTAGGGTGACATCTGACCTCCATTTCCCTTTTTCAATTGGCAGTCGCAACATGTTGCGACTAGGATAGAAGACTGTTGGTCTTTCTTTACAATGTAATATGTACAAATGTCTATTGATAGTCACTCTTGTGTACTTATTACACTCTGTGGTATCTAGATGGACTTGGGTCACCACCAATCCCACTGGTCACTGTTAAAGTGTGATTCTTGTCCAGTGTACCTCTTGTATTCTGTTGCGCCCCTGTCTGCCCTTCAAAAAGAGAAATGGAGATCAGAGGTCATAACAAAATTGTCCTTGGGGTCTGAATTTATGACATGTTGTTGAATAATACTTAAAATACACTTGTTTTGAACTATTTAGACTTGGATCATGAAAAAGTGGCATAGGGGGACGAACCTGTGTTCGCAGGAACGGAGTGCCCATCTCTCATTCATTAGCAATTGGGCCAGACTCATATGCTGCTGTGGGGGGATCGCCACACCTCCTCCACAGTGAGTCTGTTACCTTCCCAGCATTGAATAATGCCGGTACCCATTTAACACCTGGGTTGAGAGGAGTAATTGAGGTAAAGCGCCTTACTCAAGGGCACAACACACACGGCCACGGTGGGGCTCGAACTAGGCACCGTCGATATCGTACTCTGGCCGATACCGATATATCATTTTTTTTATATCGATATTATCGATAAATTGATATTTTATTATTTTAATTTTCAAGGTATTATAACAGGCGCGAATTGCATGGGATCTACTCTTTCATTCGCTTAAAAAACATAGCTTGACACCGGATCTGCGTGGGGAAGTATTAAGTCGTGAACCCCAAACACGACGGGTGATGTGGTCGATGTGCAACAGGGTGACCGTAAGGTCATGTCTAAGTTCTGCTAAATGCGCTTCAAAAATCTGTCAGATTTATCAAAAATCTGCCAAATTCCCCAGAATTACTCGAAATACACTATAAACACTTAAAATAACATGCAGATGTTGCAGTATTGCCTTTATATAAGGTTCAAATTACATTATAAACAATCTATAGTCACATAAAGATTTTATGAAATCGCGTAAGTTTCAAGAAAAACGTGGTTGCGCCACAACAAAATCTTGTTCGCAGTGAACCTCAGCACATAGACCAGCCAACCTGTCCCATTATGCAAGGGTTTGTTTGAAAAGATTGAAGGTTTGTTTTAAACAAATTACCATTTTTTTCCAATTTGCTATGTTTTTTTGTCAAATAACCATTTTTGCAGAATTCTGCCAGAAATCTGCCAAAAAAACCCATTCTGTCAAATTTTCTGTCAAACTGGTTTTTAAAAAAAAAATCTGTCAAAATTTGGCAAAAAATCGGCTAAAACGGTCACCATGATGTGCAATGACAACACCAGACCCTTAACTTACAGATCTCATGGCTAAATTGTGCGAAAGAGGTTTCGGAATCTATATCATACAGTTCACCTTTCCAGTCACTCAATAAGTCTAACTCTTTAGTTTAAAGTTCGTGTGGTATTTATCAGTCATCAACCAATGACAACAGCGGCTGCAAAGTAAAGGAAAAGATTACATTATGAATCATAGTTCTATAGTCACAGTAACAAAAAGTGAAATTCATTTTTTGCACCAAAATGTACAGGATAGTGCAACAGATGTCATCATTAGTGATTCTGCACTTACATTTTGTACACATAAAGTCTGAAATGTTCAATCAATCATTGTTATTTTAGATATTATCAACGAATTATGTTTTTTTAGAGTGGCCAATGCATATTTTTGATTATGCAAATAAGGGTGGAGTTTGTAGACCAATGTTAATTGAGAATACATTTAACTGCAACTGATAACCAAGGGGCTTTGAGTACTGGTATGGGAAAGGCAATGAAGTGGGCCTACAAACTTCCTACTGACATGGTGTTGCTAGGCAACTGTATATCCATGGTGACAGTGCATTTTAAACGTCATAAATGCTGCGGATAATTTGGTATCGCACTGTCGCTCTGGGCACTCCTCATGTCCGGATCATAAGTGCGATTCCAATTTTTTAGCAGCGTTTATCACGTGGTCTTTTGATTGGCCCGTCTGACGCCGCCTGCGGTTCTAGCAGCCGTATTACGTACGTACGTTGCCTACATGGGATGGGCCTGGGATACACGCTGCCGTGCATAGCAATATCATCAGCACGTGGTGCTAGTCTACATATGTTTAGTTAGCAAATAATTCTGTTTTGGAGGATAAATTTGGTGATATTTTCGAGGCAAAGTGTACGCGAATTTTGAATGCGAGACTGAGATAGGTGACTGAATTTATTCTTCAAATTTCGCCACATACGCCGCCCGGAATATAAGCTACAGGGACATTTTTCACTCAGCTTGAGAACCAACGTTAGCCGTGGCTTATCGAAAATTAGGGTAATGTGACGATGCACTTTCGTATTTTTTAAATAAAGTTCCTTCCTCAATATCGATGTTTTCGTAGTTTCGATATTTTCGATATTTTCGATATTTCTCCAAAATCCGATATTTTCAATATATCGATATTACCAAATAACTTACATCGGCGATATCGATAAAATCAATATCGATAAAATCGATATATCGATGTATTGACGGTGCTTAGCTTGAACCCACAACCTCTCGATCACGAATCCTGTGCTCCACTGCTAGACCACACGTGCCCACTAAAAAGTGGCATTTTCAATATTAAATATGATAAATAGCGGCGAATAAGGTATGCAAAGTTTATTGACCATATGAAGGTCACCAGGGGTCAATATAAATGTTCACACATCTGAAAATTCTGTTCATGTCAGGAAGAGCCAACTTTTAGACTAAGGTCATAAAAAAGTGGGGTTTTCAATAGTATCTTATAAGTATCCATAATAGGGCATACAAAGTTCATTGACCTCTTGAAGGTTACCAGAGGTCAGATATGAAATGCCCTTCATATGAAAATGCTTTTCATAGCATGAACACCTAACTTTTAGAGTTGGGTCTTGAAAAAGTTGGGGTTTAAAGTGTAAATCTTATAACTTTATACTGTGTATAGGTCACTGACCTCTGAAAGGTCACTGGAGGTCAAGTATGATTTTTTTTTCACATCCGATCATATTTTCCATGGCCTGAAGACCTATGACATATAAACTGAGGTCATAGGAAAGTGTCGTTTTCAAGAACAATTATAATAGTGTATATAAAGGTCATTGACCTCTCAAAGGTCACCAGAAGTCAAATATGAAATGTCTCCACATCTGAAAATTTTCTTCATGGCATGAAGAACCAACATGCACGTTTCATGCTTTAGTCACAAAGTGCACAATTTGTATCACATATTCGACCTTAACAGCCCTTAACATTTTTCTACTGCACATGTATACCCTATCAGTTTATAACATGACATAAAAATACAATAAAACAAATTGCCAAAACAGCCATATGTTTGTCCACAAGCATACATTTAGTTGCTGTTTGTTTTTATTGATCAAAAAGATTTTCTAGTCTCCTTGGTGTACTTCATCACATTGCCCAAAAACTTTGCTGAAGCCTATATTTTCAAAATTTTCCAGAAGCCTGTATACTTGGGCTTTAATTGTAAAATACCAGCTAAAATAGGGCTGTTTTATATTTCGACGATGTTTTCACAAAGTGACAAAAATCAATTTTGAGTTTTGCCGGCCAATTTATTGCTCTTGACAAAAGGAAAAATTTGGCCGAGTTTCAAAGCGAAATATTGTTTACTTTTGTAATTATCGTAAACAAACATTTGACAAAATGCCTAAAATCTGTGTTTTTCTGTTTTCACGAAGTGACAAAAACTTACCTCGTTAGCAGGGCCAGAGGAATAATGCATTTCTCTACACACACGTTAGGATGTGATTGGGCGCGCACGCCGTGAACGATGTCGATAAAGAACAGGCGCGTGCGCGCTGCAGTGACGTCAGACGCGCAAATGTAACAATTTCTTAGAACGTTTTATGTTTTCACGAATTGACGAAGAGTGTGTACAACTTAATGGGACAAAATAGTGTGGCCTCTGCGTTTTGCCGTTTTTACGAAGTGAACAAAACTTTTATTGATCTTTATTAATGAATTACAGTTTAATTATAGAGACTTCTAATAAACAACTTTGAATTAGCAAAGAACAAAGCATACGTTACTTGACAATGCAAGAATTTCATAAATCCTTAACTAAAAACTAGTTGAAAAGGTGTTTTGAAAAAATGATTAACTTCAAAGGCGATTATCCCGGATGACCTTTTTGCATGATATTGAGGTTTTTGTCACTTCGTGAAAACACCGTCGATTTTATTACTTCCACCTAGAATGAAAACTTACGTTATCATTTGACCATTCCAGCATTTTGTTATTTATTCCCTAATTATAAAGTTGTTTGTATGTCCTCCTCACCTACCATGTTGTTACCATACCCATTTGCCGTTTGAGTTTTGGGAGCTGAATGATTTTTTTTTCCTCCCAGGGAGACATCATGTTTATGAAAACGTTCGGGTGCCGGTACTGCTATCAGTCTGATGCCAGTGAACATACCTGCACTCCTACTACTAACTGCAGAGTAAATAGCAATCCACCTGCCATGATTAAGGTTAACTGCTCAATCAATCAAGATGTCCTTTGTTTAGGTAAATGTTTCTTTTTACTGGCATTCAGCCATTCTAACGTACATTTATACTAATTACATTAAAAAAATTATTTGGATTCTTTCCCAAAGACGCCGAAGTTAATTTACAAGTACTTTCACAATTAAATAGTAATAGTTGTGAAGATCCACGATTGCTGGTGTTTACACACGTGCGCGGGTGGGTGTGGGTGTCCGGACAAATCTTGTCAGCGCGATAACTTGAGAATACTTAACATATGAACCTCAAATTTGGTTTGTGAATTGTTCTTGGTAATCCTAAGAAGCCTTTTGCATTTGGGGTTGAAAGGTCAAGGGTCAAGGTCACAGTGGCTAAAACAAAAGAAATTTTGTCAGCGCAGTAACTTGAGAAATACTGCACATGTGAACTTCAGATTTGGTTTGTGGATTGTTCTTGGTAATCCTAAGAAGTCTATTGCATTTGAAGTCGAAAAGTCAAGGGTCAAGGTCATAGTGGCTAAAACAATAGAAATCTTGTATTTATTCTGAGATCATAGGGATTAATTCATATAAAACCTACAGAAAACACTAATGATGTCAATGAACGTTCTATGTGACCCAATGTACATTTAATAAGTTGATGTTAAAAGAATGATGTTATGTCACGGCAACAGTCACAGTTGCGGGGCATTTGTGTTTGTAAACACACCTGACTTGTTACATGTGCTTCGATCATCGTGCGTGCTACGGACCGTTAAACATGACGTCATTAAACTGATAATCCACCAAAGAACGGAGCATTTGTAAAAGCATTCAGATATTATTTTAGCATCTAGTTTAATTTGACAGGTTCCATTGTAATGTTTTATTTTATTGCATTGTATCATTGAAACTCTGATACATTTCCTCACTGTGCGCAAGCATGAATTTCCTATCTCCGGCACCAGAAAACAATGTCACTACGCGTGCAAAGTTGTTGTATGTTCGCAATTTACCATATTTTCAGAAGAATTGTTGCAATTACATCAAACTGAGTCTTTTTCAACCCTCCAATGATCACCCCGGGGCGAATTCACCCCTCCTCGTTTCACACTCCCCTTTTTGCCCCGGGGAAAGTGTCTCACCCTGGGGATGAGATTTTCAACCCTGGTCCTGAGCAGGGGTGAACTCGCCCCGGGGATGAGCGATCTCGGGGTTGGCTCGGGGGTGACGTGGGGGGGTGAACATTTCAAGTGTGAAACGGGCTTATTTTCACTCCCGCGTCGCCCCGGGGCCACCCCGAGATTTGGTCTAGTGAGAAAAGGCCAAATGTGTCGCCCCCACAGATCTCTCATGGGTGTAGGGCTGGAACCAAAACAAACCAAAATTTACCATATTTTCAGATGAATTGTTGCAATTACATCAAACTTGAGTCTTTTTCAACCCTCCGATGCTCACCCCGGGGTGAATTCACCCCTCCTCGTTTCACACTCCCCTTTTTGCCCCGGGGAAAGTGTTACAGTTTGGCATGTTTGGCAATTTTTGTGTATGTCTATTTGCACACCAAATCAGCTATATACAACCTGTGCTACCATATTTGGACGGAGCAGTCTGATTTGTTAAGAATCAAGAGTAAATGAATGTTACACACAGCAGCATAGCATCTACCGGTAGTGCATGAACACAGTTCTGTGCATGATGAATGGAATGATTGTGGAGCATTCCCCTTCTTTGATTGGTTTTCTATCATATTGTTTTTCTTATTCAGAAAACAATTACTTCACATACATGTACTATATTTTCTGATGTTATTATATATACAGTGTAAAACATAGAGTTTAGTATTCAAATGATAAGAATTTGTCCAAAAAAAGAGAATAATACAGTGATCTAGAGAAATCCCCACTCTAATAAATTGCTTATGTAATGTGTACACAATGCAGGTCAGAGGAAGTTTCATAGAAGGAATCGTTGTAACTGGACCTCAGGGTACCGATGGTCAACAGCTCTTACTCTCAGGTACAAGTACATACCATGTTCAATTATTAGTATTATAAAATTATTCAAAGTAGTGTTACAGGTCAACAGCACGGAGGCCATATTCGTATACCACAAGTTAGGAGGAGTTTTATTAACAAGTTCAGCACAAAATATTTGATTAAGGGAATAAATGTGTGTTTGGGAGGTATTATAACACTCTGTTTAAGACCGGTTTGAGTCTGGATGGGCGATAACCTGAGTCGAAGCCGAGGGTAATTATCGCCCATCCAGACTCAAACCGGTCTTAAACAGAGTGTTTAATACCGACCGAACACACATTTATTCCCATTCGTAAATATCTTTTCGGTCCAAAATAAAAAAAATGTCAAAAACTAGACGTTGCCAACCATTTTGTTCAACAATTTTACATCATGTTTTACGAAACACCCCTCTGACTATAATATGGAATGCCCCTCCACAACTCGTTACCTAATAGGGACATTGGCGTGCGTGTCGCGCGTACTGCGCGATGTCGCACAAAACGCAGCTGGGCTGGTGTAGTGTGAATTTTGGACCATGAAATACTGATTCACTGGTAGTACATTGCGCATGCATACGGGAGGAATTTGAACATTCAGGCAAGAAACGTTAAAAGGCACCGGATTTCATAGGAGTCTAAAATTTCATGTGACACTGGAAAAGCGTTTAAGACCAGCTAGCCATGTCTTTTTCATCCGTTTAAGACCGGCCACGTGACGGGTTCTCGACCAATAGAAATGCGTAAACTGTCTGAGGCATTTATGAATGTCCGATTAATAGGGCTATATAAATCAGCAAGGGTGTGAGTCTCAATGTACAATTGAGCAACCAGCATGTAGCATGGCGCGGTGCATGATGGAAGAATATTCTACACTCTCAAATCTGAAGCTGGGATTGCATGTTTAAAAGTGAATCAAAAATTTTGAGTTAAATGATAAAAGTGAGACATTTTTTCCTTCTTTACAAATTTGTTTTTCTTTACCAATGTTTTTTTCTGGCCACTATCCCCTAATCAAAGTTATTAAAAAAAGAAAAGAAGCTGCACACCCGCATCATCAGTTAGTTTGTAAGCGTTCATATTGAGGCTTGATATTATACCATTTAGGATGGAACCAACAATAATAAATTCAGGATAAATATATTCAGGATATGAGTTAATCAGACTTTGGCATATTTCTCTTCTGGACAGACTGTTTCGTACCGAAGGCACTCATCAGCAGAATGACAGAATATAGAACACAAGTAGCATCTCCCCTCATTTTGAATCAAGGGTGCTTACGCGTAACGCGCGTTACGTACGAGTTTACGTCACTGAACTAAGAACACACCTGTCTCGATGCCTTCACTTAGAGATGATTTTGCTTCTCTTGTTTAGTGTACCTACAATCCTGGCCAAAATGGTTGGGACACTTGGAAATAACCTTAGCCTCCAATGGTCACCAACTCCCCCACTCCCCCGGTCAATGTTGTTCTCTTCAGGGGATGGAGCACACACTGCGCAATGAGAGACAACATTGACTGGGGGGTTGGGGGCCCAGCGAGATTTGGCCAGGATTGTCTGAATTTTTTTCATTTTTCAAAATATGCATGACATGCCATTTGGGGAGCTGTTTTCTTGAGTTTCGTTTCCAAAATATGAAATGGCGGCCGAAGGATGAATGAAAGAGCACATATTTAGGCCAGATAAAAATTATTGATAGTAATACAAAAATGGAAATTAAAAATACAAATGTTCGAATTCTTTAAAATCACGACTTTATTGTTGCGTGCATCGTAACGGTTCACCATGACGGTTCACCATGCCATTTTGGCCAACAACTGTACAAAATACAGTTTGTATTTAACTTGAAAGGCTCATTAGGATGCATAAACAACATACGATCCTTGTCAATTTGTTTGTATTCACTCATTCCATTAATTTGCCGAAAAATCCATGGTGATCCAAAGTTATTTCGCAGCTAGCCCTTCAAGAAAACTATACCGAAACGCCCGGAATGTCAGCTATTTCTCTTAAACAAAGGGCGGTGGAATGCAAAACTCGCCTGCTCGCTACGCCCATTGCATAGTTTAGCAAAATTCTAGGCGGCGCGCGCTGTAAAAAAAGTTTAGTTGGCCGCGAGAGGGCGCTAGGCACAAAGCATGATCGCAGTGGCTGCTCACATGTAAAATGACACAAACACGAAATTAAGAAGTTATGAAATGAATGCTGGAGTAAGGAACCTGTCGGGTAAAAGTAAGTATTGAAACCCGACCTGGTTACACATCCAAACCAAAATATAAAGGAATTGAGTGACTCTGCTTCTTCTATAATTTACAGTGGTGAACCGTGGTTACACTATGATTTGGATGGATTTTTCGTCCAAATGAGGGATTAAAAACAAATTGAAGAAGATGATACGTTGTTGTGTATCCTAATACGGCTTTCACGTCGAACACACTCTGTATTTTGTAAAAATATCGGCCCAAAATGACATGGTGCACCGTCATGGTGAATCGTGTGCATTGACCATGTTACCAGCGCGCGCGCGTGTGTGTGTATTATTATTTGAGCGCGTACTACGCGCAATATCCAAATCCAATATCAAGGCTACTGTACATTCAGACAATCCCGGCCAAAATGGTTGGGACACTTGGAAATAACCTTAGCCTCCAACGGTCACCAACTTCCCCACTCCCCTGGTCAATGCTGTTCTCTTCAGGGGATGGAGCACACACTGCGCAATGAGAGACAACATTGACCAGGGGCTGGGGGGTTGGGGGCCCAGCGAGATTTGGCCAGGATTGTAGTTCTGGCCTACATATGATTATTGTACTTCTCTGCTCTACACAAATTGCATCTCTTGTTTACGTTAGAGTATGGCAGTGCTTTCTGAACAATGTCCCATTTGATTTCATAGTCTTTCCCTTCGTCCTTTAAGTCCCATATATGTTTACTTAGCTCTGTTTGCGCCCTCTTGCTCTCGGATCTGAATGACTGCTTGTGGTTCGCCAGTCTCGCCTTGAAGGTTGTGGATGTTAGCCCAACGTATGCTTCCTGCTTTCGCTCGTGACGGTGGCCTGGTACACGATGTTCTTGCTGAGGCACTCCCCGCTCAGCGGGCATTCGGCATTGCAGGGGCAACTGCATGTTCTACCACCGACATCGTCCTCTTGTTTTACCTTCTGTTTGTTGACTGACTACGATACCTTTACTGTGTTCCGGTTGAGCACTTTGTGAAGCTAATGTTCCTTGGGAAGCATTTGTCTATTATCTGAAGGAATTTCTTTCCAATGTTGGTACGTACGTTCTTGTAGTATGGCGGGTTGTACCATATCACCTCCCTTTTTCTAGTCTTTTTCCTTGAGTTATTGCTCGGTGTGTATGTCAACTGATACTTGTGCCCGCTTTTTTGCAGAGCCTCTTGGTAGGCCGGGGCAGTGTTCTCGAATGCCTCCTTGAATGACGAGATGTTGGAGAGACTGTTGTTGATTCCCTCTGGTATCTGTTTGATGACGGCGGGTGGGTGGTTTGCCTGGACATGTACATAGAGAGGCACATTACCTGGTTTCATGTATGGCTTGTACCTCCCGTTCGCAGGTCTAATGTGACGTCAAGGAAGTTTACTGTTGGCTTCGATCGTTACCTTTAAGTCATTTTCCCGGAATACTTGGCATATTTCCTTCTTGATGTTTTCTATTTTCTGGGAGTCTCTTCGACTACTGCCAGACCGTCATTTCCGTACTTTGATTTCAGGATCGACAGCATATTTGCTACGACCAGCTCGCACGACTCCGCCCCGTCAAAACTGCCCATCATGACATCAAATTTACTGTCTGCATTACGCTTTTTCCATGGCACCTGTTCATTGAACACCACTGTCTGTTAGCATGGATGATGATATCTTTCTCTTTGTCGCTAATGTTCTCGTAGTTTTCCGCAAACTCTAGGGCCTTCAGGAGTAGCTTTTCTGTTGAATTTTTTGGTGACATTCGCCCTTACATAGTCATATTTACATTAGCCTTGACGGTAAGCTTATCATCGTTCCTAATCGTATTTAAGTCTTCGTTCAATTTGCGTTGGAACTGGCTAGTGGTCTTCTCAAATTCGATGTTTTGAATCAGACTATCCAAATTGTCTTCGAATTCTCTCAGTTCCGGTATGACTGATGGTGTATTCTGGGAGTTAAATCTGTATGTTTCCTCTTTCTCCTCCTTGTCTTTGTTCAGCTCCGGATTCAAAAAGAATAATAATCTCCATCTAATCCTTTTGATGAACATTTCCATTTTCTCGATTAAGCGCTTGGGGTATGTTGTTCTCGATGCTACTGGAATATTCTTCGTTGAATATTCAAAGTTTACTCTTTCCATTTTGATGTGATGTCAGGAATTATGCTCCCGTATCCATGAGCGGTTGTACACACGAAAGGGGAGAAAACGTAACGAACGGAGAACCGATTCGATTCCAAATTCTCTCTATAGGGTACAATAAATAACTAGAGATGTGGTTGTGAACAACCACAGAGCTGTTCCCAAAATATTTTTGATTGTCTATTGGACAGTACAAAATGATTTAATGATTTAAAAAAAATATTAAATATTCAAATTGAAAGTGTAATCAGTAATATTTGCACTTCCGGTACAACCGGAAGTAAGGGTCACATGACTTTGACATTCCAGGAGGTGCATTTCAAGTGCGATGTGAGGAAATGTGCAAAGAACTGGAATCATTTGTTATTGTATTGTTGAGATATGGCAGTCACAATATTGCCTCATTGAATATTCATGACGTCATAACACGAGAATAATAAACTGCACAGTAAGGCAAAAAAAAAAAAAATTAAGTCGGTCTCTGGTCAGTGCGCACGTCGATTTTAATCATGCGCGTCAATCTTTTTTTTTCCAAAGTGTTCCGCTGTAGCTCCAACAGCGCCCTCTATTGCCGCACCTCCTCAATTTTTTTTATCAAAGAGCACCAAGGAATGGGAAATTGCACCAAGACAAATGATCGAGAGCACCAAGGC